CGCAGCCACCCCGCCCAGTTGTTGTTGCCCTGCCTCCCGGGAGCCGCGTTGCCCTCGGTGGAGTTGCACGCAGGACATTTTATTCCTGGCCCCTCCCGCGTGTGAGTCCTGATTTCGAAACCGATGGTTCTTCGTGCTGCCAATGTAACATTTAGGGTAATTTCACGGCTGGCGATGATCGGTTTAAAGATGGAAAGGTTAACTGCTGACTGAAAGGCTCTGCAGTTGCCGTTTCTTTGGGAGCGTGCTGATGGCTGTTGTTTCTAGGTGTGTGTGTGCGGCGCCCGGCTGAGAGTGAATTTAGGTTCCTGGCAGGACTTCTGGCCAGTCTTGAACTCGAGTTTTGACGACTTTGGGGGGATTTAGGTATCGCTGTCGCTGGGTGGGATTTCTAGCACCGTAGTCTGTGAATCTAAGTGTACTGACCAACGTGGATACCCCGGGAGGTCACTCTCCCCGGGCTCTGTCCAGGTGGCGTAGGGGAGCAGAGGGCTCTGCCCCGTGATGTACAGTCCCTTTCCACAACGTTGGAGAGAAAGCCGGGCCTTGAGTCTGCGCCAGCATATTCCTACAGCTTCTCAGAGTCCTGTGGACGATGACTGAGGAGACAAACCATGCAGGAAACATCTCTAGAACAGCGATTTTCAACCGATGTGCTGCAAGAAATTGAAAACCTGCCGATTTAGTCAGGGGCACTGACCTCTTTTCCCTTGGGTTGTCAAATTTAAAATCAACATCCAACACAGAAATTGGTGTGAGTCAATTAAAATTCTACCTCTGGCCTGGCCTGGCTCAGTGGTTGAGCATTGACCCATGAACCAGGGGGTCAGGGCACATGGCCAATTGGGAGGGTGGGCGCGTGCAGGAGACGCCCTATCCATGATTCTGTCATTGATGTTTCTATCTCTTCCTGAAATCGATAAAAACCTATATTTAAAAATTCTACCTGTTTTGGCAGATCGGTAAAATACTTATTTTTTTGTGCTGCAGTTTTAGTAATTACTTTGTGCTGCATGAGGTGAAAAAGGTTGACAATTGCTGCTCTAGAGTCCTATCTGGGTATAGGTTGATCAGAAGTGAATTTTTTGCTTTAACCAGCTTTACTGTACTGCTGAATTAAGCTCTTTACCTTGTTTTGCAGCCTTCAGTCAAGATTCTAAATAACTTGATTTGGGTAAGTAAATCTGAATTGCTTTTGGCTTAGCGGTCTTGCCCCTCATAGTTCATCCACAGGAGATAGGGTTTGTCTCATGCACAGACCCTTTTCATGATACTGGAGTTGAAGCTGGGCATATTTGTCTGCATACGCCTTCAACAAGGAATAACTGATGAAGTAAATCATGAAATAGTACATAGTAATGACTTGTTTGAAATTGATTAAAAACAGTTACTAAACCAACATCTGCATGTAGTGTGATCTGTAATAATATAAGCATAAAATGCTAATCAGACCGGATGTCCTTGGACTAAGCCGAGGTTGGGGGGAGCATGCGCCAGACCGGATGTCCTTGGACTAAGCCGAGGTTGGGGGGGGGAGCATGCGCGCGGGAAGAAGGAAGGCCTACTCTTGCACGAATTTCGTGCATCAGGCCTCTAGTATGTAATAAAAATCTAAGAAGTTTTGAGGGGTGATGCTGTGTAGCTGTACTGTAATTACTACTGTTTGTGATTATCAGACGCTCCCAACGTGGATACCCCGGGAGGTCACTCTCCCCGGGCTCTGTCCAGGTGGCGTAGGGGAGCATAGGGCTCTGCCCCATGATGTACAGTCCCTTTCCACAACGTTGGAGAGAAAGCCGGGCCTTGAGTCTGCGCCTGCATATTCCTACAGCTTCTCAGAGTCCTGTGGACGATGACTGAGGAGATAAACCATGCAGGAAACATCTAGTACGCTAAAATGTGAAATTTTTAAATTTAAGAGTCTATGATTCTAATCATTTTTTTCTGTTTTCATTTAGAAAAGAAGAGGAGCCACCTCACCATTTTGGCAGTTAACAATGCTTTTTGGATTCCTCTAAAGTGATGGCTGTTTTTGGAGGATAAGTAGCTGGCTGCCCTTTGGAGTAAAAGGAAAATTAAATGCAAATTCTGTCATTCCCAGATCTGTATTAACTGGTAGACTAATAGGATGTTCCATTGGCCACATGGCCCATTGAAATTTGTCATTACAGAAGGCACTGAGCATTGGCAGCTTTTTTTTTTTTAAATCCTCACCAGAGTATATTTTTCTTCTTTTTTCTTTTAATATATTTTATTGATTTTTTTACAGAGGAAGGGAGAGGGATAGAGTGAGAAACATCGATCAGCTGCCTCCTGCACCCCCCCCCCCCCCCAAGGGGTTTTTTCCCCCCAGGCACATGCCCCTGACCGGAATCAAACCCAGGACCCTTCAGTCCACAGGCCGACGCTCTATCCACTGAGCCAAACCGGTCAGGGCCAGAGAAACACATCTATTGGTTGCATCCAAGGTACATGCCCTTGACCAGAATCAAACCTGGGACCCTTCAGCCTACGCTCTACTCACAGCCAAACTGGCTAGAGCTGGGCAGCTTTATTGAGACAGTATTGGTCCTTGAAAAGGCCCAGAAAACTTGTCAGAATGTGTGATGCAAAAAAATGAAACTAAAATGATACTTTGTTTTTTTATCCTCAAAGTTGGTTTTCTAATTGCATAGTTGAATGAACAGAAGCCCATGCAAGTCTAAATGTTTTTTAAAATCCTTATGTATTTGTGAATTATAATAAAGGTGACTATATACTTATTAAGTGTGGTTTCTTTTTTCATATGGGAGTGTGTGATGACAGCCAAAGATAGTGTTCCATAATGGAGTGCTATAGCAATTAGTGCCTGGTTAGTTGCGCCCTAAAGACCCTAAGCTTTTGTCTTGTGCTCTTTGTGTTTAGCTTTATATAGTTCCCTGGCTAGATCTCATTTTCATTACACAGTTGGATGCCTGGTTAAATTTTAAAATATGGGTAATGCTTCACCTACATTAGCAACTACAAGATTTGTTATGAATGTTACAAATCCCACTGCTGTTAGGCTAGTTAAACCTAGACAACTGGTGTCCAAGTAGCAAGCCCTTAAGCCTGGAAGACCACTGCCATGGGTGATGTGAGGTTGGGTCACAATGGAAGCTTTGTCAAGCCCTTGTACAGACTGCCAGCCTTGTAGGGATGGGATGTAATGGGCCCTGAAGGATGGAGACCATCTAGAAGGTAGAGTCCATCCTGGTGCGTGGGGTTCAGATAGCCATTAAACCATTTAGGAGCCTTTGTGGTCAGATTTAAGGGAAGTGTGTATTTGGGATTTGGGTGGTAGGTTTGGCCAAATTGTGTGGAATGCCCAGATGGAGTTTCACAAATGGTCTTCAGGGCCAGAGGATAATAGATTTGGGAGTGGGAGCTATTTCCTGTAGCCGTAATTAGGGAGAGCACGGCTTGTTGGCTTTTTGAACTGATAAAGCAACATGTAGATGGTCTGCTTAAACTAGTTGCACTTGCAATACTTAGTTCTAAGTATTTGCATATATTAATCCTCACAACTCTGAAATGGGTATTAATCTAACCCAGTTTCAGATGGGAAAACTCGGGAACAAAGGCTCCATTGCCCAAATTCACAACTGGAAGTGGAACCTGCACAAGAGCATCAACCCCCTGCAGGCTTCCTGGAAGCGAGCCAGATGTAAGGCAGGATCCTGTTTATCCCCAGGACCAGCCCAGTGCTGACCTCTCATCTTGGTATCTGTTAGGTTAGGTGGCTCAAGAGGCAGCGTAGGAAATAGAGTCCAGTTAATCAGAAAAGGAAGAAAGGAAAGGCTTTATTCTGCGTCCCTGGGCGGCCCACGGACCCCAAAGACAGGGAGGGGGGCGCTTTTTTTATACAGCTGTTCAGTGCGGGCGGGGGAGCATGAGCTGTGGGAGTTCCTGCCGCGGGGGTCGTTGTCACGGTTTCCAGGTGTCTCATCTGCCTGGTAGCTGACCTGTTAGGAATTCCAGGGCGGGACCGGTATCTGCATCACCATCTACCTGGTGCACTGGCCTGTTACGGATTCTAGGAAGGTCCCAGTATCTACATCACCATCTGCCTGGCGGAGGCATGCGTCAGCTCCTGGACCCCCTTTCGACCTAACAGTATCATTACCACATACTGTCTTTGGAAAGGAGGGGCTCAGTATAGTGTTCGCTTTTCCCTACAACCAGAGAAAGATGATCTTAATGATTCGTACCAACTTCTTAGGATAGGGCTGGATAGCTAATGCTAAACAGGAAATACCTGTATTCATTTCTCTCGATGTGCAAGTGGAGCTGAAGCAAAGCTGTCAGCAGGTATTCTAGGCCCCACCCTTTCTGCTAGATTTCATCTTGCAATATACCTGTCTAGACTTTCCAAACAGGCTTTTCTGGCCTTTTTCTGCACGTAGACAGTCATACCAATGGTTGCCAAACGTGGAGTCATGCTGCCTAGGTTTGGATCCTGATACCAACAGTTTCTGTGCATGTGACCTTGAGTGAGCCACTTAATCTCTGCTTCAATTTCCTCATGAAATTGGGGGGAATAAAAGAATGAGGATATTCAATGAGTTAATGTTTGTAAAAGCTTCTTACAGTCTCATAAGTACAATGAGCTTCTTAACATTTTGTGACCACCTGGTATTGCAAGCACAGCACCAAAGAAATATCTAATTTGTTGTTGGTAATCCTCACCTGAGGATATGTTCCCATTGATTGATTTTTTTTATTTTTTATTTTTTTTAGAGAGAGTGGAACGGATGGGGAGAGAAAGAGCGATGATACATTGGTTGCCTCCTGCACTAGCCCTATGGGGGCTAGTGATCGAGCTTGCAACCAAGGCATGTGCCCTTGACCAGAATCCAACCCAGGACCCTTCAGTCCTCAGGCCAAAACATCTAAATATTTAAAGATTTCTAAACAGGGCAAGGCCTCCCAGCTGTGATTTAGGGAGACTAACCTCGGGATATTGGTGGGATGAAATGGAGGGGAAGAAATGAGAGGTAGGAGCAGAGTCCAGGAGGGTGGTGCTTTTGATCAGAGGGGCAGAAATAGAAACATGAAGAGAGGAGAGGGAGGAACCGGCAAAGCATTTAAGGTTTGAATCTATTTCTTTTTTTTTTTTAATATATTTTATTGATCTTCCACAGAGAAGAAGGGAGAGGGACAGAGAGTTAGAAACACCGATGAGAGAGATCGATCAGCTGCCTCCTGCACGCCCCCCACTGGGGATGTGCCCGCAACCAGGGCACATGCCCTTGACCAGAATCGAACCCGGGACCCCTGAGTCCGCAGGCCGACGCTCTATCCACTGAGCCAAACCGGCTCGGCTGAATCTATTTCTCAGAGAACCTTAACTTTGGCTGGAAAGATGAAGTCGGGGTGGTGTCTAGTTCCATGGGTGATGAGTCACAGGGGTAGAGCTGAAGGGCTGAAACTTCCAGTGGAGGGCAGATGGACTGCCCTTTCAAAAAGTGATAGCTCAGCCCTGAACAAGAATTCTGCCCCCTCTACCACTTGTAGGATGACTCCAGAGAAAGTCCCTAACCACTTTGAACCTCGTTTTTCTCATTTTACAACTGTCATGAGGTTTTTGTGAGGAACAAATGTGCTAAATAACATGGGTGGGAATGTTTCTGCAGTGAACCAAATAAAAGGTTTTACAAAATAGGTGATAATAATAATCATTTTTATAATTACATTAAGCATGTGAATGAGTAAGAACTTGGAGGAAGACAGCAGAGAGAGATCAGAGATCCCAGAGCTTAAACTTGGAGAAATTTCAGGGTACTACATCATCCAAAGGAGGAGTCCGTGATGGAGGCAGAGGTAAACTTGAAGAGGTAAGAGACCCTCGAGATGGGGAGTGTTTTGGGGTGGACTCCATAGAAAAAGAAATTCAATTGGTAAATACTCATCAAAAGTATCTTATCTGGTTATGATAGAATGACTTTCAGAGTCAGAATCAACATGAAACGGAGAAAATATCCTTCTGCAGAGGTCACTGCCCTGACCTGGGAAACCCCCCAGACAATCAAATGGCCAGAGACGTCACCTCAGGGAACACCTGAAATCTTCAAGAACTGTTTGTATCCACTGTGGGGAATGAGTGTGTTAACAAGAGAGGGTCGTTCGCTTGGTACCTATTTTCCTTTTCCAGCCCCCAACCCCAATTCACATCCAGTTCAAACGGTCTCCCTCACTCGATTTGCTTCCCCCAAGTCCATTCTCCATTCTGTTGGAAAACAAAAACCTACTCATGTGGTCAAATCCTTTCACAGTTCCCCACTGCCTCGGAATAGAGGCTGCATTCCTTAGGCACAGACCGTGCATCCCTGGCCCAGCCCTCCTGCTCCAGCGCTCTCCCCTGTCACTCCTGCAGGCACCTCTGCTCCAGTTAGACCTTCATAACATGTTTCCCACACCACCCTAGGCTCTCATCGCTCCCTGTCATTACAAGGGAGGCTTCTCCGCGTCAACATGGAAAGCATTTCTTAAGTCCCAGGCTGGGCCAGATGCCCCTGCACTTACTCTTGCCGTAGCTCTGTTGGTGGTCTGATTTCTCATGTTTCTCCAACAGAGAACCTCTTGAGAACAGGAACGAGCAGTATCTCTTTTCTCTGTACAGTTCCTATCACACAAACAAACCCTGTTTTCCCATAAACCAACCCTGTTTTCAAGTGGTCTTTCTGGTTGTTAGTCCATTCGTCCCGATTTGGGGTCTCCAAAATGCACCCCCACTGTACTTGTGGAGTACAGGTGGGGAACCTGGTCTAGAGCTCCCTGTGGGGAGCGTGTCCCTTGCACTTCCCGGGGCGGCCGCCAGGGGCCGCCGGGCTCTTTGTTTTCCTCTGTGGCCCGGGTCAGGGCGGCCCGCGGCCCGCAGAG